CAGGAATACACACAAGGAGATGGAAGAACAAAAGAGGATGCAGAGGGGTCAGAGGAAAAAGAAAGAATTAGGTTCAGGTATATTTAATCTAAATGGGATGATGTTTACTGCAGAAGAATCAAAGCCGATTTTGAAATCGTGAAATATGACTTTAATAACGTGAAGTCGCAAACGATTTCAAAATCGTGGTGTATTTCAAAATCGGATCACCTGCCAATTTCCTTGTGGTTTGTAAGACATCTGATACAGATGTCTATTTAAATCGCAACAAAAGTAGTGCATGCACTACTGTGGAAATTGGTGCAGATCTGACCAAGTTGGAACAGCACCGATATGACCACTCTAAGAGCAGACAATAGGGTACGACTTGGCATACGATTTGCAAGTTGCCTGGCATGCAAATTGCTTGCCAAATCGCACCCTATGTGACCGGGGGCTTAAGGTATTCATGGACCTAGACAAATGTATCAGGAAATTAAAAAAAAACATTTTGCTAACAGAATAGACAAAGTTTGGAAACTCAATATCAACATAGCGGATTGAGAAATCAATCTTTATTCAACTCCAAGTCCAGTAATAATCAATGTCTTCATTTCATTCAGGTTAATGATGGAGCAAGAAATTAAGATAATCAATATAGAACTCATCAGAGGTAACAAAAAGATAAGACAGGGACTGGAGGAGCAAGAACAAAAAGGAAAAACATTTACTAGACCACCAGACAAAGGAAGGGGGGGGGGGGTAATAGTCATCTTGAATAAAGATGACTATGTAAGGGAAGTTGATCGATTGATAATGGATGAGGACACATAGGAGAAACTCAAAAGGGGACCCTGGAAATACATTAAAGGCCAACTTAACAAAATTAGTACGTTGAGAAAATCGTGGGTAAAAAAAAAGGACCCAAAGAATTTATACCAGGAGGTACACAAAAACACCAATAATATACCAGGTCCCTAAAATATAGAAAATTCAGAAAATCCCCCCCCCCCCCCCCCCCAATTGTCAATGGATTGGATTCAATTTTCTCCAGAACAGGAGAGTAATTGGACCATTTCCTGCAACCTGTAGCCCAGGAATTTCCATCTTATATAAAAAGGATGGTCAAGAACTCATCAATCTACTAAGACAGAAAAATATAAAGAACAATTGTCTATTAGCCAATATTGATGCATAGTCATTATACACCAATATTAAGCAAAATAATGCAATACAGGTTGTAGAATAGGCCCTTAACCACTTGCATACCAGGCACTTATACCCCCTTCCTGCCCAGGCCAATTTTCAGCTTTCAGAGCTGTCTTTTGAATGACAAATTGCGCAGTCATGCAACATTGTACCTATATGAAATTTTTATTTTTTTCCACACACAGAGCTTTCTTTTGGCGGTATTTAATCGCCGCTGGGTGTTTTATTTTTTTTGCACTATAAACAAAAAACAAAAAAAAAAAAAAAAAAACAAAATAGACCAAAAAAAAGGTGAAAAAAAAAAAAAAAAAGTTTTTCTTGATTTCTATTATAAAATTTTGCAAAGAGGTGTTTTTTTTCTTTCACTGATGTGCGTTGATGAGGCTGCACTGACAGGCGGTACTGATCAGTGTCGATCCCTTTGCTGACAATTGCCGGTTCTCAGCAGTACCTTCCTCACGCTGTGACAGCGTGAGGACAGTGCAGCCGATAACTGGCAACTGTAGTTTACCCGGTGATCTGCTGTATCATTGGACACAGCTGATCATGTGGTAAGAGACAGCTGTGATTGGCCGTTTACTGCATCACGTGATCAGCTGTGTCCGTAGGACACAATGATCACTGGTGGCGCCGGGTGCGCGCTCTGGAATGACATCCGTGGACATCGTCCTAGAACCAGACAACCGCATGGTAGCCATCCTTCGGCTACAGCGTGGTAGGGAATCGGTTAGAGAGAGATCCACGTTAAGACATAAGCATATAGCATTCAAGATAAACATATTAGAACTGGCTATGAAAGAGAACCATTTCTGGCATAATCATTGCTTCTATGCCAAAAAAAGAGGGGTAGCTATGAGGGCTAAGTATGCCCCCACCGTAGTGAATATATTTAGGAGTAAGTGGGAGGCTGAAAAATGATAGGAAAAAGTTCAATAATTTGGATTTTGAGATAATTACCTAGGGAGAATGCATCAATATGCGCACATATTTTAAGGAGACAGACAGGAATGGTTACATTCCCATCAATAGTGGACACCGCCCGAAATGGTTGGGGGCCATAAAAAAAAAAAAAAAAAAAAAAAAGGTCAAAATCATGCGCATCAGAAGAAACTGATCAGGATTTTGAAGAACAAGCAAATACATTAGTAGAAATATTCTTGGAAAAAAGGGTACAAAAGAAACATGTTGGAAAAGATTAAAGGGGAAATAAAAAAATATGAATAGAGAAGATCTGTTAAAAAAAAAAAACAAAAAAAAAAAACAAAAAAAAAAAAACACACTGTCCAATTCTTAAAGAAGATCAAACTTTAGCTAGGATATTGCCCAAACAACCCAAATTTGTCTATAGGCGACCTCCAAATTTGAAAAATAAATTAGTCAATAATATTTCTGGCCCTCCTTTGAAGAGGATAACCTCTTTGGACCAAGTGGGTGGAAAAATGTTTAACATGTAGAAATTGTAGGAAGGATTCAAAGAAAACTACACAATTCCAGTCTAACATCACTGGGAAAAGATATGAAATAAAAAAAAATTCATAACATGCAGTACTGCAGTTTGTAGGAAGAACTACTAGAGAAAAGGGGTTCCAACAACATAGTTTGTCAAATCATTTTAAGATTTATCACAATAAAGATCCAAAAAAATTAAAATTTTGTGATATAGATAAAGTTGAAAATCATTGGAGAGGAACAAATATGAAATTAGGTACTTCTGAGAATAAATCCCAATGAAATTATCAGCTTGGAACTATTGCACCGAGGGGCGCTACTTCCAGTAGTATGCTTTTCTATCTGCCATATGTGAGTGGAACACTATTTTAATTCAAATTTTAATAGAAACGATATTTCACTATATGGCCCCCCCCCCTTTTGTTCTTTATATACTAATTTATGAGGAGCTTATTCTCATGAACGGGAAACTGACAATGGAGGATTAGAATGAGGATCAGACTCACAGGAGGACTACAAAACACAGATGAGCCTATATAATACACAAGCGCGATAGACTCTTATTCTTTTAAGAGTCCATGGGAGGGACCTGGTGAGTAAGTGGGAGGAAAGCACGAAGGATTCGTGGCACGTTATGCAGAATCACTGCCCGTTTGCACATTAAGAGACTATACTTTATAATTATATAAGCAAATAATTTATATTATGTTGGTGTATTTTTAGAGAAAGCACATTCCACGAATGTAATATGTAAATTTTGAGGTATTTTGCACACTTATGGGACTGCGCTTCGTAATTAAAAAAGAAATAAACCTCTCATGTGCAGCATTAACCTCCCTTCCCCCCAAATACTTACCCAAGTTCCATCCACTGGCTCCTGCTATTGTCAGTCAAAGTTAATGAGTAGAGAGCAGGGGGCGGGGCCTAGTGCATGGCCAGTGGAATCCTGTTTAGCATTTTACTGTGTTATTAACCACTTGCCCTCCAGAGGATTTACATCGCTGCGTTACTTTGACAATTGTGCGATCCTGCACCCAAATGAAATTTAAGTCCTTTTGATCCCCCACATATAGAGCTTTCTTTCGGTGGTATTTGATGGCCTGTGAGTTTATTTTTTTCGATATAAACAAAAAAAAGACTGACAATTTTGAGAGAAAAAAAAAAAAAAAACACACACACAAAAAAAAAAGCACACAATAATTGACTTTTTGCTATTAAACATGTCCAATAAAAATTTTTTTCAAAATCCAGTTTTGCCATAAATTTAGGCAAAATGTATTCTGCTACATGTCTTTACTAAAAAAAAAAAAAATCTCAATATGTGTAAATTAATTGGTTTACGTGAAAGTTAAAGCATTTACAAATAGTGGTATATATACACCACACACACTGGAGATTTTTTTTCTTTAATATTTTACACTAGTAATGGCGGCGATCAGCGACTTATAGCGGGACTGCGGCAGCGGGCATTCTGACACTGGGGGGGAACTGACTTGGTGTCACTGACATCCCCAATGACACCAATACAGTGATCAGTGCTAATAAAAAGCCCTGACATTGTACTAATGACACTGAGCAGAAAGGGGTTAACATATGGGGCTATCAAAGGGTTAACTGTGTGCTGTTTTACAGTATGTGTGTTTCACTGATGCAGAGCCATACAAATCAGTGTGCAGGAGCTGACAGGGGAGAGAAATTTATTGTTTACATATACAGTTCTCTCCCCTGTAGGTAATACTCGGCAATTACCGGGTGCCAGCAAGTAATCACCTGCCAGGACCCCGGTGATTGACAACCGAGGCCGCATCCCGCACCCAGAACTGCAAAATCACACACACACGATTTGGTATACCTGTGCCGCTCTGTAGCATTATTTCTGCTATAGGACAGGTTGGAAATGATTAAAATAAGTTTGCTTTGGACTAGATGTGACATGTCAGGACCACAAACAGCGCCCCACAATCAATAGTGCATGTCAATGCAGGCTAAATACAACAGAAATGGTAATAATCCAGCCCTGAGGCTAGAGTCACACCAAATTCACTATATTTACCACACACATGCATTAAATGTATTGTGTTAATGTGCCTTTTTTTCACAAAATACTAACATTGTTAGCATTTCTTCATACTCGCCAATTGCTAGGACACAACTAGCCAGGACAGGGTGATGCTAACAATACATGAGTTTTTCTTAACAGCTTTCCCACTGCCCTATAGCATCTATACTGCTACAGGGTGGAAGGGGTACATAAAATCACGTATGTGTATATATACACACACGATATTGCATCTCTAGATAGGATGCGCACGTAAGCCCTACCAGCGCAGCCATTCGTGGCCGCGGCTGTCAATCACTGGGTCCCGGCCGGTGATAACCGAGCATCTCCGACGGGGAGGAGGACTGTTTTGTTTACTAACAGTCCTCCTCCCTGTCAGCTTGGGCACACTGCTCTGGATGGCTGTGCACAGTGTGATTACAGTGAAGCACACTGACACGCCCCCTAGTAAAACACTCCTGCACAGTTAACCCTTTGATCACCCTCATGTTAACCCCTTCCTGCCCAGTTCTATTAGTACAGTGACTTTTTAGCACTGATTATTATACAGTATTCGCTCAGCACTGTGATCACTGTATTGGTGTCTCTGGGGATATCAGGGACATCAAGTCAGTTCCTCCCAGTGTCAGAATGTCAGCCACAGTCCCTCTATAAGTCACTGATCAACGCCATTACTAGTTAAAAAAAAAAAAAAAAAAAAAAAATCCCAGTATCTATACCAACATTTGTAAACGCTATATCTTTCATGTAAACCAATTAATTTACACGTATTGGGATTTTTCTTTTTTTTTTAGCAAACAGATGTAGCAGAATACATTTTGGCCTAAATTTATAATAAATTTGATTTTTTTTTTTTTTTTTACTGGACATGTTTAATAGCAAAAGGTCAAAAATATTGTTTTTTTTCTCAAAATTGTCGGCCTTTTTTTTTAATAGCACAAAAATGTAAAAGAAAAAAAAAAACAAACAAAAAATTGCACAGGTGATCAAATACCACCAAAAAAATAAAGCTCAAATTAGTGGGAAAGAAAACCCCAAAAAAATTTAAATTTCATTTGGGTGCAGCATTGCATGACTGCGCGCAATTGTCAGTTAAAGTAATGCAGTGCCGTAACGCAAAAAATGGCCTGGTCAGGAAGGGGGGTGTTAAATCCTCAGGAGGGCAAGTGGTTATTCAGGAACCAACAGAAATTCACATAGGGAATGACCAGTTATCAACTTTCCGCCAGCCCACAGTAAATTTACTACGGGTGGGAATTACAGGCTAGGCAATGTACTGGTACATTGCCCTGCACATGAGCACTGGCATGCCAACTGGGACGCACAGCAGATTGCAGATCACTGTGCTGGGTACCCAGGCACTTTGAGCCATGTTAAAAAAATTTAATAAAAATTATTCTACTTTTGTTTTTACATATTGCCACTAGTCAGTATTCCTGATCACGGCTACGCCAGTCATATTATGATGCTGTACTACACTAGTGACAGTATGCAGCTTAAAAAAAAAAAAAAAACACACACACAACCTCACTAACTCACCAAGCCCCTTACTAAATACCTTGGACTACCTACTTTCCAAAAAGGGGTCATTAGGGCCGCACACTGTGTGCACAATTAGGAAAGTTGGTTTTTGAAGATTATTTTCATTATTGAACAACTAGAGTGCTCTTGGTCAATCCAAAGGATTAATAAACCTCAAACATGAAGATTTAAGAAAATAAAAAAAAGTGAGGTTTTGGCTTTCTTAGGACAATATATATGTGTGGACAATTACTGAGCAACTATTAGTGTGCAGTATTATCATGCAACTAAATGAAACATTTTCCCATCTCACTTGTTTATTTTCATGTTAACGCTTGCCCTCCGCCCTATAGCAGAAGTACTGCTACAGGGCTGCGCAAAATCATGTATTTATACGCGATTCGCATTTCCGGGAAGGGGGCATGCATGCACATGCACTATTGGCGGCTAGAGGTGTCAATCACCGGGTCCCGGTCAGCACTCGGCAATCATTGGGGAAAGACAAGGGAGAGACCTGTATGTAAACACAGGTCGCTGTTTTGTATCTCTCTGCACAGCAGAGAGATACAAAACGGCATGTCTCCCTAGTAAAACACACAAAGTAAAAACACACACAGTACACTGTTACCCTTTGATCGCTCCAGATGTTAACCCCTTTCTGCCCAGTTTCATTAGTACAGTGTCAGTGATTTTTATTAGCACTGATCACTACTAAAGTCATTGGTATGTCAGTGGCAGTTAGTCAGTTCCCACTCAGTGTCAGAATGCCCACCGCAGTCACGCAGTCCCGATATAAGTCGCTGATCGCCACCATTACTAGTATAAAAAAAAAATTAAAAAATTCCAGTATATATATACCGCCATTTGTAGACACTATAACTTTCACGTAAAAACAAATTAATTTACATGTATTGGGATTTTTTTTTTGTAGCAGACATGTAGCAGAATACATGTTGGCCTAAATTTATAAAAATATTTGATTAATTCTTTTACTAGATATATTTTTATAGTAAGAAGTCAAAATTGTTTTTTTTTTTCTCAAAATTGTCGGTCTCTGTTTATAGTGCAAAAATAAAAACCATAGGAAGTGATCAAATGCCACCGCAAAGAAAGCACTATTTGTGGGAAAAAGACATACATTTCATTTATGTACAGCGTTGCATGACCGTGCATTTATCATTTAAAGTAATCCAGCGCTGTATTGCAGAAAAAAAAAAAAGGGCCTGTCAGGAAGGGGCGTAACTCTTCTGGAGGGCAAGTGGTTAAAGTGAGAATAATAAACTCAAAATTTACAAATAAAAAAAAAATAATATATCAGTCTCCAATATAGCCACCTTTCTTTTCAATAACAGTTAGAAGCCTTCTATTCATGGAGTCTGTCAGTTTCTTGATCTGCTGGCGATCAACTTGTTGTGCAGCAGCAACCACAGCCTCCCAGACTGTTCAGAGAGATGTACCATTTTCCTTCATTGTAAATCTCCCATTTAGGCCAAAAGTTCTCAAAAGGGTTTTGGTCAGGTGAGGAAGGGGCAAAGTCATTCTTCCATCTTTAAGGCCTTTACTGGCTAGCCACGCAGTGGAGTACTTCAATGCATGGGCATTGTCCTACATAAATATCATAGTCTTCTTGAAAGATGATATTTCCCGTGCCACTGCTTAAAGAAAGTCTTCTAAAAACTGGCAGTATTTTGGGAGTTGATTTTTTGAGACCATCTTCAGCCCGAAGAGGTCTAACTAGCTCATCTTTTAATAACCCATACCAGTACCCCCACCTCCACTTTGCTGGTGTCTGAGTCGAAGTGGAGCTCTGTGTCCATTACTGATCCAGCCATGGGCCCATCCATCTAGTCCGTAAGAGTCACTCATCTCACCAGTCCATAAACCCTTCAAAAAATCTGTCTTCAGATATTTCTTGGCCCAGTGTTGGCGTTTCAACTTAAGTGTCTTGTTCAATGGTGGTCAGGTTTCAGCCTTCCTTACCACAGCCATGTCTCTGAGGACTGATCACCTTGTACTTCTGGGCACTACAGGTAGGTTGCAGTTCTGGAATATAACAGCACTGGAGGATAATGGGTTCCTCGTAGCTTCACGTTTGATTCTTCGCAAATCTTTGGAAGTTAATTTGCATCTTTTTCTCTCAGCACATTTCTTGTAACCCTGTTGACTATTTCCAACAAAACATTTGATGGTTCTGTGATCACGCCCCAATATCTTAGCAATTTCAAGAGTGCTGCATCCCTCTGAAATATTTTACAATTTTTTTTTACTTTTCAGAGTCCGTTAAATCCTTCTTGACCCGTTTTACCTAAGGAAAAGAAGCTGCCTAATAATTATGCACACCTTAATATAAGGAGTTGATCTCCTTAGGCCATACCCTCTCTCATTACACATCACCTGATATGCTTAAATCCAATAAGCATTCAAGTTTATACAGCTTAGAGTTGGACAATATGTATGAAAATGATGATTTGGTCACAATACTCACTTGCCTAATAATTGTGCACGTGTGTATGTACTGTCATTTTCAGACCTCAAGAAATGAGACTGTCAGTGCATCAGGAATGATCAATTTTCAAAATATTGAGATAGAGATATGGAGAGGGAGAGGGAGATACATACATACATCCACCATAGTTTGTAGACTAACTCTCACAGACTAATATACACTAATCTGTGTTATTTTTACCAAAGAAATATAGCAGAATACATCTTGGCATAAATGTATGGAAAATTTTATTACAAAAACTAAGAAAAATGTATTTTTTTCATTATTTTCACAATTTTTGGTTTACCTTGCAAAACATAAAAAAACCAGTGGCGATTAAATACCACCAAAAGAAAGCTCTATTTGTGTGAAAAAAATAGATACATTTAATTTAAGTACAGTGCTGCATGACTGAGTATTTGCAAGATAAAGTATCACAGTGCTGAATAGTGAATAGAAAAAAAAATGCCCTTGTCATGAAGGGTGTAAAACTTTGCGGAGGTCAAGTGGTCAAAGTGATAGTAAAGTCATTTTTTTTTCTGGGATTTTTTACTAAATGAGATTTTAGCTCTAAAACAGGAGAGATTACAGGATTCCAGTTCTAAATGGGAAAAGCACACAGTGAATTTCAGGTCCTGACAGGTACGGGGGCGCCCACATATCTGGAGTCAGACAGAACAGCCAGGGGACAGTATAAGGAAGAAGCGCAAATAGAGAAAAAATTATACAAACCTCAAGATCATGCAAGTATTAGTAGCTCATTTAGTGTAACCATTCCCCAATGTACAAAACGGTGCAGATGTATCTTTGCCTCACCATTGGGAGATTTCCTATCACCTCCCATCCAACACATAAACCACTTGCCTACCAGGTATTTTCACCCCCTTTCTGCTCCGGCCAATTTGCAGCTGTCGGTACTGTCGCATATTGAATGACAATTGCAGTCAGGCAACACTGTAGCCATATTACATTTTTTATCTTTTTTTTGAGACAGAGCTTTCTTTTGGTGGCATTTGATCACCACTGGGTTTTTTTTAACCACTTGACCTCCAGAGGATTTACCCCCCTTAATGACCAGGCCTCTTTTTGCTACTCGGCACTGCACTAATTCAACTGATAATTGCGAGGTCATGCAATGCTGCACCCAATTGAAATTTACATCCTTTTTTTCACACAAATAGAGCTTTCTTTCGGTGGTATTTGATCACCTGTGCGCTTTTTATTTTTCACGCTATAAACAAAAAGGCCAAAAATTTTGAAGAAAAACAATATTTTTTTACTGTCAGCTATAAAAAATATATAGTAAACTCAAAGTTGGTTATAAATTTAGGCCAAAATGTATTCTACATGTATTTGGTAAAAGAAATACCAATAAGTGTATATTGATTGCTTTGTGTGAAAGTTATAGCGTCTACAAACTATGGTATAGATACTGCAATTTACACCATTTTTTTTGCGCTAGTTTAACGGACAATTGCGCGGTCATGCAATACGGTACAAAAATGAAATTTACATCCTTTTTTTTCCCCACAAATTCAGCTTTCTTTCGGTGGTATTTGATCGCCTGTGCGGTCTTTATTTTTTGCACTATGAAAAAAAAAGTCTGACAATTTTGAGGAACAAAAAACAATATTTTGGACTTTTTGCTATAAAACATGTCCAGTAAAAAAAAAAAATTAAAAATCAAAAATTTAGTCATAAATTTCTGCCAAAATGCATTCTGTGACATGTCTTTGCTGAAAAAAAAAAACCCAATACGTGTAAATTAATTGGTTTACGTGAAAGTTATAGCGTTTACAAATGGCAGGAAAGATCCTGGGATTTTTAGGTTTTTTTTTAATACTAATAATGGTGGCGATCAGCGACTTATGGCGGGACTGCGGCGGACATTCTGACATTAGGGGGTACTGACTTGGGGTCACTGACATCCCCAGTGACACCAATACAGTGATCAGTGCAAAAAAAAAAAAAAAACACTGACACTGTACTAATGGCACTGGGGAGGAAGAAGTTAAGTTTATTATTCAGGGAAAGGGTTAACTGTGTGAGGGGGAGTGTTTTTACTAGGGGGCGGGGATGTGTACTGCAGTGAACACCGCTGATCGGGAGAGAGAGAAACTCTTCTGTCCCGATCAGCGTGTCCTGGAGCTGTCAGGGAACTGATAGAAAGCACAGCTACTGCAGCTGTGCTCTCTGTCAGTGATTGCCGCCGATCGCCGGGACATAGCCGGTAACGACCTGCTGTGACCCGGCGACTGACTTTCGCGGCTGTGATCGGCGGGACAGGTAGGGCGGCTGCGCGCCTCACGCGCGCCCGCTACCTGTTTTCAAAACACACGTTTTAAAACGTGCTTTTGCCCAGCCGTGCCGCCGTATTTATACAGTGGCTGGGTGGCATGTGGTTAATTTTTTGCTAAACAAATGAAAAAAAAAAAAATTCTGAAAAAAAAAAAAAAAACACACATTTTTCTTAGTTTGTTATAAAACTTTGCTAATAACTAATTTTTCTCCTTCAATGATGTGCGCTGATGAGGCAGCACAGATGGGCACTTATGGGACTGCACGAATGATCAGTGCCCTGATTATCATCAGTGTAGATATTACCATCAGTATCGTCAGTTACCACCTCTTCTCACGCTGTCACAGCATGCAAGGAGAAGAATGCTGATAAGTGGCAAGTCTATTTACACTGTGATCAGCTGTGACTGGACACAGCTGATCATGTGGTAAAGGGTCACTGTGATTGGCCCTTTACCTCTCTCTGTGATCAGATATGTCCAAAGGACACAGGGATCACAAAGAACAGGGGGCAGAGTTCTGGGAGGACTTCAAAAGACACCCTCGCAGAACCAGTCTTTTGGCTATAACACAGTCAGAAAGTGGTTAAACAAAGTTCTGGTTGGAGTGAAATTATATTTTGATGAGAAACTGAGATAAAACAATTGTAGCTCAGTAAATCAACCTAACATTAGTTACTGCTTTAGGGCCCAGCCATACCGGTGCGATTTGGGAATTGAAATCGCACCCGAAATCACATCTAATGAATGTCAGTGTCTTAACATGTGAGATTTGCTGCAGCATGATTTCTAAATTAGTTCTTGCATTACCTTTTCTGCAGTTTTGCTGTGATTTCACATGCATAGAATAGAATGGAAATCGCATTGTAACTTGCAAGAAGCAAACCGCACCTGAAATTTCACACAAATCGCGCCATTTTACAACACAGTGGTATGACCGGTGACCAAATCTGAATTCCATGGTTAGACCTAACTAGTCCTAAAAATGCTCCCTCCCCTCTCCTAACACCTATAATGACTAA